TTTTAGTGGCTCCCCTGAGTTTCCTCCTGACAGTCTAGATTCCCCCAATATAAACCTGGATCCCCAGGGTCTAGCCCAGAGCTTTTGTCTCCTTCCCGCTAGAGAAAGCCAGCCAGGCACTAAGCCACCCATGCAAATGACTCTGTTCCTCAGCCTTTTACAGCTCTTCTGATTCTCCGTGCTTTCCTCTTTCCTTCTAGTTGTAGAATTTCCACTCAGCCAGCTTTCCTGTGGTTCTGGATGATGTTAATTTTGTCTTTTAGTTGTAGTTTTGAAATTGTTGTGTGAGGCAGCAGTTTAGGTGTTCACCTATGCTGCCATCTTGGTTTCTCCTCTCCTCCCAGACTTTTGAAGAGGCAAAATTGTTCCATAGTATTTTTTAATCCTTTTTACCTCTGTGGGACCAGCTGTTACTTCACCTCTTTCATTTATGATTTTATTTATTTTGGTCCTCTCTCTTTGCTTCTTGGCTAGCCTGGCTAGTAATACATCAATCTTGTTTATCCTTTCAAGGAACCAGCTCTTGGTTTTGTTGATCATTTGAATCCTTTAAGTTGGGTTAAATAATATATTATCAGTTTTTCTAGTTTGTTTGTTTTGTTTTGTTTTTTTTCCAAGTAGGCCTATGGAGCTATGAACTTCCTTCTTAGGAGGTAAGTTCATAACTCCATAGATTTTTGTCTTCATTTTCATTTTGTTTCCCAGAAGTATTTTATTTTACTTTATTGCTTATTTGATTACTTTGTTAACCCAATCATTGTTTAATAACATGCTATTTAGCCTCTATGTTTTAGATTTTTTCATTGTTTTCTTTTAGCTGATTTCTAAGTTTATGCCATTGAGATCTGAGAAGATGCTTGGTGTGATTTCTATCTTCTTGAATTTTATATTTAGCCTATATCTTAACATGTGGTCTTTCTTTAAATAAATCCAATGTGTAATTGTAAAGGATATATATCCTGTTGCTTTCAGGTGAAATGTTCTAAAGATGTCAATTAGTTCCATTTGATCTAGTGTGTCATTTAGGATTGTTGTTTCTTTGCTGACATTTTGTCTAGAAAATTTACCCAGTGATATCAGTTGGGTATACTATACTATGATTGTATTACTTGTCTGTTTCTCCCTTGATATCTTCCAGAAGTTTTTTATGCATTTGGGTGCATATATGCTTACCAGAGTCATATCTTCTTATTGTATGAGTTCCTTTAGTGTTATGAAGTGGTCTTTTTTATCTCTTCTTATGGCCTTCACATTGAGGTCTTTTTGTCAGATATAGGTTTTGCTTTCCCTGGCTTTTTTTTGTTTGTTTGTTTTTTTAATTTCCATTTCCCTGAAAACTTTTTTTTTCACTCCCTTCACTTTCAGTTTGTGTGAGTTCTTTGTTCTTTGGTGGGTCTTCTTTAGACAGCATATACACTGAGTGGCCAGTTTATTATGATCTTTGGAAGCATAATAATCTGGCCACTCAGAATATATGTAATAGAGGCCTGGTGCATGAATTCGTGCATGGGTGGGGTCTGGCCAGCATGGTCATGGGAAGTGGACATGGTCAGTTGGCAGACCTGCCCATTGGACAAATTCCTGATTGAGAGTAAAATTTGCATATTAACCTTTTATTATACAGGATATATACCCAGTGGCCAGTTTATTATGTGTTCAGAGATCATAATAATCTGGCCACTCAGTGGTTATGGGTCATTTTTTTTTTATCCATTCAGCCACCCATTGTCTTTTGATTGTAACATTTAATCCACTTAGGTTTAAGGTTATTATTGACTAGAGTACCAGTGCAAGAGATTTGTAGATGGGTAGATTCCCTAGGCTTGTCCAGTGATCAGGGCTGATCAGGGCTTTCCTACCGCTGGCCAGGGCCTTCCTTCTGGCTGTTGGCCAGGGCCTTACTTCCCCAGCTGCTGGCTTCAGTCCAGAGCCTCCCTTTCCTGGCTGTTTGGCTGCCTCTCTGGGGCCTTCCTTCCATGCTGCCCCCGAAGGTCAGCACAGATCATTGCGAGCAATCAAACTCCCAATGGGACACTTTATATATATATATATATATATATATATATATATATATATATATATATATATATAGTGAACATATATATAGTGACTATATATAGTGAATATATATATAGTGAAAAAATATATATATATTTGTTTGTTGCCGTATTCTTTTAACCTGTATTCCTTCTTCCATTTCTAGTTCTTCTTTTTATAGCAGTGTCTTAACATTTCTTACATTGCTCACTTGGTGGTAATAAACTCCCTTAGCTATTTTATTTTGTCTGTTAAGATCTTCATATTACCTTCTTTTGATTGATATCCTTGCTGGGTAGAGTATTCTTGGATTCAGTCCCTTGCTTTGCATCATGTTGTATACTTCATTTCATTCCCTTGTGGCCTGATGTGTTTCTGTTGAGAAATCATTTGACAGTCTAATGGGAGATTCCTTATAGGTTACTTTTTTTCTCTTTCTTGCCACCCTTAAGATTCTTTCATTGTCATTAATGTTTGCCATTGTAATTATAATGTATCTTGGTGGCAGTCTTTTTGGGTTCATCTTGATTGGGACTCTCTGTGCTTGCATGAGTTTTTTCTTCCCCAAATCAGGGAAGTTTTCTGACATTATTTCTTTAAATATGTCTTCTATTTCTTGTTCATCTGCTTGAACTTCTAGTACCCTTGTTATGAGGATGTTGCTTTGTTTCATGTTGTCCCAAAGCTCCCTTAAACTCTCCTCCCTCTTTTTAATTATTTTGCCAATAGCTGTTCAAAGTGTGTATTTCTTTTTTCTATCCTGTCTTCTAATTCACTGATTTGTTCCTCCACTTCTAGTCTGCTGTTGAGTCTTTCCATTGTGGATTTTTTGTTTATTTTGTTTTTAAGCATTTTCTTTTATTACTTCAGGTAGGAAGGGAGAGTGAGAGAGATAGAAACATCAATGATGACAGAGAACATTGATTGTCTGCCTCCTGCACTGCATGCCCCCCACTGGAAATGGAGCCTGCAACTTGGGCATGTACCCTTAACTGGAAGCAAACCCAGAATCTTTAAATCTACAAGCTGGGGCTTTATTCACTGAGCCAAACCAGCTAAGACTCCATTTTGTTTTTTATTGATTCGTATATATGTTGTTGATATTCTCATCCAGCTAGTTTAGGAACTTTATGACCTTTACTATAAATTCTTTCTCTGACATATTGCTTGCCTCCATTTCATTGAGTTCCTTTTCTGGTGATTCCTCTTTTTCTTTCCTAGTGGGGGTTATTTTTTAGTCTCCCCATTTTTTCTGTTTCTTCCTGGCCTTGGGCACCCTGTTTGGATTTGAGAGGTTGAAGATCTTATCAGGCCAATGATCCTGGATTCAATAACCATCGGCTGAATTTGCCTTGAGTGTCACACATTTATTGTCTTTGCTCTGAGTTGTATCCCCTTCTCCTACAGATCTGATCCCTCAATTGTCCGTTTCAGATGCTCATGGTGGCAGGAGTGCATGCACAGTTCCTCTGTGTGTGTCTTTCTGTGAAGACCCAGAGCCCTCTGGTGTGTGATTTGTTGTGCTTCTCTGGATCTTGTGGCAGGGTGACTCTAGTTCCCTCTGGTAGTGAACTTTTAGCATGGTCCTGTGGCCCCTGGCTGAGTACACATGATATCTCAATGTCACCCCAGCAGCACACTTTTGTGGTCTGGAGTGCGGTACATACTGGGTTGCTCAGGATAGATCTGGCAGGACTATCCCAGTGGTAGGGGTGTAGTAGGTGCATGTTGCTCTGGGTCACACAGTCCTAATTCTCTTGTGGCCAGGATTGGGATGCAGGCTGTGCTACTTTAGGTTGTATGTCCCTGGACTCTGGGTGGAGTGACCACAGGTTGCTCTGGGTCACATAGAGCCTACTCTCCTGTGGCCCAGAGTGAGACATTTGTTGGGTTCTTCTTGGTTGCCCCTCCAAGGTCCTTGGGTGAAGTGAATGCCAGTTGTTCTTGATTGTATAGTTACCACTCTCCTATAACCCAGAGTGGAGCACTCACTTGGTTGGCAAGTTCCAGGGCTCAGGGTGGAACAGCAAGGTTCTTGGGCCCAGGGTGAGTGCATGGCACAGGGGCCCCTGGCTTGAACTCACTGTGGGGTACTGAACCTGAATCCTGAGACACTGAGTCCCAGTGGGTTGATGAGAAGGCTTGGTGAAGGAGGTCACTCTCCAGGTTTTCTTAAATTTTTTTTCTAGCTAACTTTCTTTTAAGAATACAGTATATAATGCATATGGTATACAAATGATGACAGAAATTCATCATTTATATTGACAGTAAGACTCCCAGTCAACTGTTTATATTGATGGTAAGCCTCCCAATCAACTATTTTTTCCCCCAAAGTTAGATGAGTTTATTTAATCGATCAGTTTAAATTATAAAGTGTTCATGCTACATACAACCTCATAACATCTAGGAGTGTGGATGCCTATAAAAGGGGGGACTTCCAACCTCTTGGGGGGCTCGCGGGCCTGGCCTCCTGTGAGGTCAGGAGCTGTGGACTCTTGACACACAAGAGTCTGAGTGCTGAGCATGGAGCCCAGCTCCTCTCAGGCCTTCCCTTGAGCAGCGTGTGAGCCTGCGTGGCAGGTGGGGCCTTTACAGGCAGGGCCGTGAGCAGGCAGAGAGAGCCTGCTCAGGGGCTCGGGGCTGGGCCTGGGCTCAGGCGTGTAGGCCCCGTTGCCTTGCAGTCAGAGGTGCGCAGAGCAGAGGGAGGAGGAGGAGAAGCAGCTCTGTGGGTAGCACAGGACAGGAGTGACTGGGGAGGGAAGGACAGAGAGAGCGCGGCCACAAGCCAGAGCGCAGCTGAGAACCAGGGGCAGGTAGGGGCGCTCTCTCAGGCCAATCCACGGGAGGTGGCTAACAGGACAACGGGGCTTGTAAAAAGGTACACAGAAACATGGACATCCCCCTGCAGGCCAGCGGGACTGCGGCTTGGGGCGTGGGAACCGCAGCACCACGTGTGGCTCGTGCTACGGGTCTGGCAGCTGCTCCAGGAACATGTCCTCGACGCCGTTGATCTTGATGTGGTACACGATGCGCCAGAAGCTGGAGTCGGGGGAGCGGTACAGCCTGCCAGGGTAGAGCTGCCACATGAGGGACAGCCGGCTGGGCTGCAGGGCCTCCCCGCGGGAGACCTCGATCTGGCACAGGAGGACTTGCAGGCTGCTTTCTGTCTCAATGGTGATGGACATCCAGGTGCCGTCGATCCCGTCCATGTACATGTTGGGCGGCCAGATCCACAGGTGGTCGGAGTGCAGGCTCCTGCTCATGGTGAATAGGAATGCGCCCGTGGCACCTCCACCGTCCATGGCACCTCCGCGGTCCAGGGAGCGGGAGCAGGAGCAGAAGCAGGAGGAGGAGGAGGAGGAGGAGGAACAGAAGAAGGAGCAGGAGGAGCAGGAGGAGCAGGAGGAGGAGGAGCAGGAGGAGCAGGAGGAGCAGGAGGAACAGGAGAAGCAGGAGGAGCAGGAGCCCAATCAACTATTTTTATTGACAGTAAGGCTCCCAGTCAACAGTAGACTATTAGTGGTTGTAAAAATAAAAAAATAATAAAATAAATAAATAAAAAAAAGCAAATCTTGAATTTCATAGAAGTTGATTCCTGTGTTGTTCAAGAGTCAACTGTTCTTACTTTTGTAACACTCCCCACTCCATTTGAAAAATTTTTGACACTATTTCCTACAGGAATCAGATCTTTATGGTGGTGGGAACACCTTTGGTCCATGGCTGTATCATTTTAGCACAGTTCTGAGCACAATGTTTTTGATGAGAAATATTTGTTAGATGGATCTTAGCCTGGTACATTGTAAAAAATGCTCATTATATTGATATCAGATTTACTTTAAAATATTTAAGAACTCATGAGTTGTGTGTGAGAGAATATGAGTTATTAAAATTTAGGAATGGTAAAGCTTTAGAATATTTTAGAGTTTCATTTCCTGACAATGTGCATGGTTTCTTACACATGGCAATGAATTCAGGGTTCTTGAAACAACCCTCCTAACACATCACAATATCCACCAAATAGGGATAAAATTGCTGGCCAGAATTGCCAGACTTGGGGGAAGATTAAGCCTAGAAGGGAATAACTACTAATAGTGAGAGAAGGTGGTAAAGAGAAAAGGCAAGAAATTGCTTTGCACATACTTTACTTGGTATATATTTTTTTAGATTGTGGATGGAAAAAGGCCACCTACTAACTTGGTAAGCTCAAGGGAGGTTTGTGTGGTACCGTTACAAACTCAGAGTACTAAAATAACAACAAAAGATGGTCTGAAATTAAAACTTTTAAACTAAAATTAGTTTACGATAGTTCATTATGTCCCAAGCAGAAATCTTCCTTGACAAAAGTCAGTTGTCTTTTTTGCATCTACAATAATATACCTTTGTAATGTCAAAATAATTTCCTTCTTTGGAACCCCTTGAAGCACAGACAGTATTCTGTGGAGACTACAAGTCCTCTCGTTGTTACTGAGTTAATTGTTGACTATTTACTGCACCCAGGTAAGTAAAAGATGTGTCTCTTCATTTTACTTTTTACCCAATCATGGAGGATTCCTGATTTGCTTTCTCCTGCCTTCCTAATCTATGTCAATAAAGTTTATGTGACCCACATACATCTCCTCGTTGGTTGTAATCTCTATCATTAAAACCCAATGGTTGCAATACTGTCACAGCAGAACAACCAAAGACTGGTCACCAAGAGGCTGAGTGCTTGGACACCAGCAGGAACTTGACGCCAGCAAGGGTGGGCTGGGCTACATGATTTCACACTCTGGGCTTCTAGTGGATAAAATAAGGTGTAAAACTGTCATTCTTCAGGACATTATCTCAATCCATTAAGATTTTGCTTCCTGGCACTTATTGCCATTTTGGATCAAATAAACTTACAAAAATTCTCTACAGGTATGAATGTTTCTAATGTTGACATGATGAAATAAGAATTTAAGATTAATACCTCTTCTGCCCTTTCATCTCACCCCAAACTCTAAATATATAGGAAAATGTTTGGCTATCACCTGTGGAACAGAAATTTATAATCCTTTAGTATTTACCTGTTTTGTTTTTTGAAAGGCTGATCTTTACTATTGCTGCTACTTTTGCCTAAGAAAAGTTAGTTTCTGACTCACAGACTTTTTCAAGTTTTTAACAGGATTTCATACCCGTTGACATCAAAGAGCATGGATCAGTTTTCTTGGTGGAGCTCCTGGATTCATGTTTATCATCTATGGTTCATTAGCAGTGGTTTCTTAATTGTCTTTGGTAGTTTTAAGACCAAATTTAAGTGAGCTATTTGTTTCTTTCTCACTATGTGAGACCATTTCTCCTCCTGTCTGTCTAGTTGCTGTTCACTTTTGCATCAAGAAAATAGTTTGTATCTTGCACTGCTGATTATCCTGATGAACCTGAAGGCCATTGGTTCACAATTAAATAGAGGAAACACACAGCAGGATTCATGTATAATATTCATGGAGTTACAGAAGCATTTAGAGGTTATCTTATACAGGAAAGAGATGATAGAATAGTTATGGACCCCTTTATAGTAGACTAGAGGCCTGTTGCATGAAATTCTTACCCAGGTGCAGTCCCTAGGCCTAGCTGGATATCAAAGCACTAGAGGCCCAGTGCACAAATTTTGTGCACGGGGAAGTGCACCCTCTCCAGTCTGGGACAGCCCTCTCACAGTCCAGGACTGCTGGCTCCCAACTGCTTGCCTGCCTGCCTGACTTCCTGATTGGCCCTAACTGCTTCTGCTGCCTTATCACTCTTTAACTACTCTCCTGCCAGCCTGATTGATGTCTAACTGCTCCCCTGCCAGCCTGTTTCCCCTTACTGCCCTCCTCTGACAGCCTGGTCACCCCTAAATGCCTTCTCCTACAGGGTTGATCGCCTCCAATTGCCCTCCTCTGCTGGCCATCTTGTGGTGGCCATCTTGTGTCTACATGGGGGCAGGATCTTTGACCACATGGGGGCAGCCATCTTGTGTGTTGGAGTGATGGTCAAGCTGCATATTACTCTTTTATTAGATAGGATAGAGGACTGTTGCACTGGCGAGGGCCAGCTGGTTTGCCCTGAGGAGTATCTTGGATCAGGGTGGGGGTTCTCTTGGGGTGTGGAGTGGCCTGAGCAAGAGGACTGTGGTTTTTTCAGGCTGGCCATGCCCCCAGGTGACCCAAGCGGAGGTCCTGGTGTCTGGAATTTATTTACCTTCTACAATTGAAACTTTGTAGGGTGGAGCAGAGCCAAGCCTCTTGCTCGCTCGGTGGCTGGCAGCCATTTCTATTGGGACTTATGTACCTTCTATTGATATAATTGAAACTTTGTATCCTTGAATGGAGGCCTAGGCAGGACAGGGTGTGTGGAAAGCTTGGCTTTCTCTATTGCCAGGAAAACCCAAGACTCTCTCAACTGCTCTCTGTGGCTGCAGCCATCTTGGTTGGAGTTAACTTAAGTACTTGCTCTGATTGGGTGTGGCTTAAGCGAAGTGAGGATTAATTTGCATATTACTCTTTTATAAGGTAGGATAAGCATTTGGCATGGAGGGCCAGGTCCCAGCTGACCTCTGGGCCCTGGGTAGCATCTGGACCCCTGGTCCCCTGCATATGTCCTTCTGCCTGAGTTACAGCACCTGTGTCCCTATGAGGAGTTGCAGTGAGTACGGTCTGATGCCTTGGGCTGGAGTGTAGCATGGACCTCTGGGAAGCCCAGGGGCACTGAATGGAGTGGAAGCCTGTGGGCAGCGCACTTTCTCCTGTCTGGCCCAGCTTCTGTGCAAACCCATGGAGAGCCCCACTGGGAGCCCCACTGGGCTCTGCGGTCCTGGTGGCTGCAGCCTGGCTTACCCCGAAGAGGCCGGAAGTGGGAGGTGGGCTCCTAGTGGGTGCCTGACGCCTGAGCGCAGGGGCTTCCCTGGCACAGGAGCCCTGGTGTTCCAGGGGATAGTAGTAGGGGAAGTGAGAGGTAGCTTGGCAGACAACACACATTCTCACCATACCACCATTTCAGTCAATCTTGCTCCCAGGTAGCCTATGAGAGGTCATAGCACCCAGCTCAAGTGCTGCATGAGGTTGGTTTCCGCCACCCACCCCCAGTTCCTCATAGTAGTCTGAGGTCTGGCCCAGATCAGGTGATCAGGGCCTGCAGGCCACTGGTCACCATCTGTGGGTGATCAATAGGAACCAGGCTCCCCACCCAGCTCCCTCAGCACCTTGGAGCCTGATGGTGGCCCCACCCCCTGCTGCCAATGCTAGTCACCACCTGTGTAGCAATCGGTGGGGCCAGTGGGCCCCTGCTCACACCCACCTTAGCCTGGCACCACTGGCTTATCTGCTCCATCATCGCACCATGGTCCTGCTCTCCTCTGGGCCCATTGGGGTTGGCAGCACTTCCACTGCCCCCTGCTGCCAGGGCTGTGTAACTGATGCCTGTCTTATTCCACACTGACACTCCTCCCCCCTCCCTCCCCCCTCCCCCGTGGTCAGGGCATGTCATAGCAAGAAGTCTTAATAAATTTGCTTGCTTTGCTTCCTTAATACATTTGTTTGCTTTGCCTCAATGCTACTTTCTGTCATTCACCTGAATTTCTTCTTGAGAGATTAAAATGAGCTGGGGAGAGAGAACTTTCCTCCCTCCACCCCCACCATGACAGAGGGGGTTCTCTGGTAACAACTGTGCATGGCTGTATTGTCCCCTAAGGTGACTTTTGCTGTCTGTGCCTAAGTGCATCTTCACAAAAGAAAGCAGTGACCCTTTTTCTGGGCTACATGTGAATACAGATTCTCAGTTTCAGGATTGCCAGGTTGTCACATTTAATGAATTCTAGATTTGAATAGGAAAAAACAGTAATAAAACACCCACATCAAACTAACATGCAATAGCCAGAGCTGAGAAATAAAAGTAGGCCATATGACTGGATCTGTCTCTTCCTCTTTCAGCAAAAAAAGCAGAAGTCACATGAATTCAAACTTGTAAAAAGGCTGTGTCCTCAATGATGCTTGCCCCATTGAAAGCCTTGCTGTCTCTGCTGAATTATTACTCAGTCTGCAAAGTCAGAGATAAGTGACCAAAGTTACCCTGAAGTAGTGCAGGGGCATCTGGCATTAAGTTTATCAGAAGTCCTGCAGTCCTGCAGCTGCCTAGCAGTTGCTGGGTAGGATTTGTACCCAGGATTCTTATGTTGCCTCAAGGAAAACTGAAGGAGCATAGGTAGAGAGCCACAGGGTATTGGAAAAGGCCTTTCATCTGTTAATCTTGTTTTCTAAAGCTCATAAACTTCCACATTTTTTAAAATGCTGCAAAGATTCCTTTG